AGTGACTAGCACGCTCGCCTCGCAAGCAAGAGGACTCGGGTTCAAGTCCAGGGCGGGGTGACACTTTGGGCTTTTAGTCGATTGGCGGATCGCTTTCTGGGGGTAATAATCCATAATAAATCTTTCCAAAATAATAATAATGATAATCTGGTCACTCAATCCACAGCTGTTTGTGGGACGCTGCTGTGCGCAATTGGCTGCTGCATTTTTCCCACAAAATATATAGTCAATTCACTTTACAGTATGTCCTGTGAAGTGCTTCGAGACGTCTGAACGACGTGATAAGGCGCTGTATCAAATGCAAAGAATATTATTATTAATGTTTTTTCAGAAGCTGTTATCCCGCGGAGGAAATCACCTTCTAAATTATTTTACTGTTAGGCCATCTTACATTTGCAACCCCAAGATCTCCTGTACTTACTAACCTATATCTGTGCAGATGCCAACAACAATAATGTAGCTCGATACAGAGCCTTTCACATCGGGAGTACGTCTCAAAACCCTTTACAGGATTTATTGTGAAGTGGAGTGACTGTGTGTTTTGTGGACGAAATGCAGCAGTCAGTTTGTACACAGCAACATCTCAGAACAACAACTACATTTAGTTGGGAGGACGTCCCAAGGTGCTGGGCAGTCAGGGGTTTAGACCCCAGTGGGGGGGATTGGGATCAGGAGGGGTGAAAGGCGGGGAGGGTGGGGTTATGAAGGTGACCGAATTCGGGAGCGAAGAGGAGGATCTTGAAACATGCCTTGAAGTTGAAGGAGATGAGGGAAGGAGTGAGGTGAAGGGACTGTGGGATAGAGCAAATTTCCTTTGGGGATTGTCGACCCAGGTCACCGGGAGAGAGGGGAACTCCTTGCCTTGTCTTTTCGAATAACGCCTGTGTAGTGACTGTGCATTTTATTAGCCAGAAGGGAAGTTTTTTTTCGGTGCGACAGGCTATAGAAGTAGGTAGGCCCGAAGCTCGAGATGGAAGCCCAGAATGTTAGCAAACATCTGGCTTCCAGGCTTAATTAGAGGCAGCCACGGGAGGTGAAGCTTTCTCACTCGCTCCCTCCCTCCCCCTCCACCCCCAGCTCTCTGCCAAGAAGGCGACCGCAAACCCAAATGATTCTTTTCTGCCTATTAGTCTCCAATTTTCTGTTCCCCACAATGGCCTAAGATCCCCTGTCAATTTGTGGTCAATGCTGAGCAGTGTTGTTTTGCTGGAACATTATCTAAGCAAGAGAAGCTTCCTGAGTACAGCCATGGCTTAACCTCCTCCTAACCCCCCCCTCCCTAACCCCCCCTCCCTAACCCCCCCTCCCCCTTCCCATTTCGATTACATTGTCCTTCGGATGGGACGTTCAACCGAAAACCAGTCCGAACCTGTTCAGCCGGACATTAAAGATCTTGCGGAGTTATTGGAAAAGAAGAGGGAGTTTCTCTCTCCCGGGGTCCTGACCAACAATCCAAACAAATAAAACCGGTCGCTCTCTTCGTGGCTGTGTCTGGGATGTCGCTGTGCGCAAATTGGCTGCCTGTGTTTTGCCCACAAAACACATAGTCACTGCCCGTTGCAGTGTATCCTTTGAGATATCCTTCCAATGTGAAAGCACTGTTTGGGTTATTACTATTATTATTGGTATAAAGGTGTGATGATATAAAGGATTATTTTTAGTGACCTGCCTATTCCGAGCTCCCTTTGTCTGCAATGCTTTCGATGTTTCAACGTGATAAGGCGCTGTATCAAGTTTAAATGTTATATTTAGACTCACCAAAGCTGTGGAGCTTTATAAAAGATTGAACCCATCATTCAATGACTTCCACGGTTCCTTTATCAAACATCCCTAACTATCCAGCGCCTTGGGACATCCTCCTGAAGTGAAAGGCGCTGGACAAATATAATTTGGTATTTTGCGTTGTATTATTAAAGATTTTAAACATCGCTAAGTTTCTAACCTTGTTACAACGTAGGTGTACTCATAGCATTTTCTGGGTTTGAACTATAACATTTAACCCCAGAATGTCCTAACGTCACTTCGTGGAGGCCAGTAGCTCAGTGATTAGAGCACTCGCCTCACAAGTGAGAGGACCTGGGTTTGATTCCTGGGCAGGGCGAAACCTTGGGCAAGTTTCTTTACTCCACACACCTGTTTACCTGCAGTAAGTAGGAACCCGCCCGCTTGTCAATCGATTAGTGGATCGCTTTTCTGGGGGTAATAATCCCTTCAAAAAAAATTGGGTCACTCAATCCAAAACTGCCTGTGGGACGCTGCAGTGTGCAATTGGCTGCCACGTTTCACCCCCAAATTACAGTCAATTCACTTTACAGTATACTCTGTGAAACGCTTTGACACCTCAAAGATGTGATAAGTGATTCGCCAATTGACTAACAACCGGGTTCCAACTTACTGCTTGGTAAACAGCGGTATGTGGAGCAAGGAAACTTGCCTAAGATTTTGACCCCCCCCACAATCGAACCTGGGACCTGTTGCTTGCGAGGCGAGTGCTCTAACCACTGAGCTACAGCGCTCCACAAGGAAGCCAATTCCTCGAGGACAGTTTGAGTTGCTGTTGCTATTGTAGTCTGACGCCATCCTTGATGGAATCAGATTGAAGCTGATACAATCAATGGAGTCCCTGTAGCTCAGTGGTTAGAGCGCTCGCCTCACAAACGAGAGGACCTGGGTTACATTCCCGGGCAGGGCGAAACATTGGGCAAGTTTCTTTACTCCACACACCTCGTGTAGCTCAGCAGGTACTTGGTGACTAAGACTCTATCAGCGCTCAGGGCTTCTGGGCCTCAGACCCTGCCTTGTGATGTGACTTGAGGAGAGTGAATCATTGCTCTGTTTCCAATTGTGGATCAGTTCTCACAGTCGCTGGGGTTTGCTGACATCTGTGAGGCTTGGCAAAGCCTAGCCTTGTTTCAGAGACTGAATCATTGCTGCAGACTGGATCGTGGCTTCACAAAGCACGCAGTCACACCACTTTCCTGTTAGTGACATCCTTCAGCCTCTCCCCCCCCACCCTTTGGAACTTCATCCCACAGTCCCTCCGCCTTGCCCCCTCCCTTGCCTCCTTTAAGGCCCATCTCAAGACTCTTCGGTCAACCCTACTACCCCCACTCTCCCTGCCCTCCACCCGTCCTGATCCCAACCCCCAGGTCGGGTCCAAACCCCTGACTGTTCAGCGCCTTGAGATGTCCTCCTGATGTGAAAGGCGCTGTATAAGTGTAATGTGTTGGTGGTGGTGTCCTCCTGAATTTAAAGGCTCGATATGCAATGTAGGGAATATTTATTTTTAACACAGGAACAGACCAAAGCCATTCAGCCTATTCAGCCTGTTCCACCAGTTTACTAGATCTTGGCAGATCTTTTAATCTCATTGCTTCGCCCTCTCGCTATACCCCGTTAATACCTCTATTATTAACCACTTCTCATATGCTTATGTCTGTCTGTGCCTGTCTGTCTGTCTGTCTGTCTCGCTCTCTTAAAACCTCCCTATTAATTCCTGTGCTACTTTTTGGAGCACAGATTTCCACACACTCGCAAGTCTCTGTGGGAAGTCATGTTCAGATGTCAGTAAGACTAGACTGTGAGCTCAAGGTCTGTGATCTTAACTAGTCACTATCACTCACGTTCATTATGTTGTCAATATCCTGACCGCATTTATTTATACATATGTCTATTCAAAAAAAATTAGTCATTCAAAACACGACTGGACGTGGGAAACTGCTATGCACAATTGGCTGCCAGGTTTCACCCAGAAAATAGTCAATTTACTTTAGGGAATCCTGTGAAGCGCTTTGAGACGTCTCGAAGACATGATGAGATGCTGTATCAAATGCAAGGATTATTATTGTTTTTATGGGCCAAACTCTCCATTCCTGATAACTTATCAATGAGCCTTTTCCCCTGGGAGGGACGAGTTATCAGCAGTTTACTGTGCTCAGGACAGTAGTCTGTGGCAGTGAGATTGTGGCTGTTCTTTTACATGATGGAGATACCCTGCATAAAGCTCGCTACATAAATACAAGTTGCTGTTGTTGTAATTGTAGATGGTTGCTTTGTTCTGCCAATAAATCTCCTCTTGTCCCAGCTGTTTGTTAGTTATTGTAAAAAAAGGCAGACATATTTTTGCAATTAAGCGATTAGATTTTGGTTGGGATTATTAGGAACGGATAGCGTCCCGAAGGAAGTCTGGGGAGAGAGAGAGAGAGGGGGGGGGGAGAGAGAGAGGGCATGGGGAGAGAGGTACGACGTGACAGGGAACTATCCAGAAGGGTTTCGTCCACGAGGCTTATTTGTGGGCTGTTTTTGTCCAGCTGGATCAGAACACAATCTCTTACCAAACACGGTCGCATTAACTCCGAAATGCTATTTTTTATTTCTATATAGAATTTTATAGTGTTGTGCAAGGATTGTTATTCAGCCTATACTGCCTGTGCCGGCTCTGTCACAGACCTTTGCGTTCAGTCTCATTCCCATGTTGGAGACTTTGTTGAGCTGACAGTCTCGGCTAACGCTCCGGTGCAGTGCTGGGGGGAGCACTGCATTATCGGAGGTGCCGTCCTTCGGATAAGACGTTAAGTAAAATCCCTCAAGAAGAAAAAAAATAATTTGGTCACTCAACCCACGGCTGTCTGTCACAATTGGCTGCCGCATTTCGCCCACAAAACACACAGTCACTACACTTTAGAGTATAATCTGTGAAGCGCTTTGAGACGTCTCGAAGACTTGACAAGCCGCTGTATCGAATGCAAGGATTATTATTATTGATCGTTCACTTTATGGCTGTTTGTGGGGACATCTCTCTGTGCAAATTGGCTTGTGTGTTCGTCTACACTTCACAGTAATTCCTGTGAAGCACTTTGAGACATTTCAATGACGTGATATATGAAATGCAAAGTTGCTTATGATTATTATTATTAATATCTCACTGGATAAAAAAGAATCGGGGCTTCATTTGTGCATTTCACACATTTTTTTTCCTCTCTTCCTCAACGGGGCAACAGGTTGCAATCAAAATCATCGACAAATCTCAACTGGATGCTGTGAATCTGGAGAAGATCTACCGGGAAGTGCAGATCATGAAGCTCTTGAACCATCCGCACATTATCAAACTCTATCAGGTAATTAAATCTCCATGCGTGCCTTTCACAAGCAATTTCCTTCCTGCTCCACTTCTCCCGCTTTCTCTCCACTCCTCTAGAAGAGGTTTAGACATAACCTTTGATATCTCCTAATGCCTAGTTCTTCTTCACTGGCTGCCCTGGCACCTGAAATTCCACCCAGTCTTAGCCTGTAGGACCATTTGAGTCTGTTGAGATCATCTAGCGTAGTGGTTATTGCACTTGCATGGCAAACGAGAGGACTCGGGTTCGATTCCCAGGCGGGGAGAAACCTTAAGCAAGTTTCCTTACTCCACACGCCTCTGTTTACCTCTCAGTAAGTAGAAACCCAGTTGTTAGTCGATAGGTGGATCGCTTTTCAGGGGTAATAATCTCTTCAATAAACAAACAAATGAATCAGTAATAACGATTTGGTCATTCAATCCACAAGTGTTTGTGGGACACTGCTGTGCGCAATTGGCTGCCACATTTCACCCAAAAATGCACAGTCAATTCACTTTACAGAATATCCTGTGAAGCGCTTTGAGACGTCTCGACGACATGATAAGGTGCTATATCAAATGCAAGGATTATTATTATTATAAGACTGGTTCGGATGGAGAAGACCCTCCTTTGGCCAATTTGATCTCTTCCTTCCAGATATCCCCACCCCTCACAACTGACCATCCTCCCCATCGCAGCTGTTTGTATTTATAACTGATTCCCAGAGTCCTGGCTTCAGCTTTTCTTCCTGGCCACCTGTTGTTCTCGTCAATTGCCCTCTGGTAAGAGAATCACTTCCAGGTGCCAGTTTTGAAGTCGTAACTTTGCGACTCTGGACCCACGGCCTCTTTGTTTTGCGCTTTCAATTTTTACCAGAGATCTTCCTGATATTGTTTTCATCGAAAGCAAAAAAAATACCCCTTCCCTCTCGCCCCCAAACCGCACCCAACAAACACTTCCTGTCTCCTGACATTCGGTGGGCGCGTAATGATTTTTATTCATGCGGTAACCTATCACCATTGCTTAAGAGTCTCCAAACCCAACTGAGAATCCCATGGCATTCCACCTACACATGGAAATCCCAGAGATAGATTGTTGGAATGGAATGTGCTCTCTCCCTCTTTCTCTCACTCCCTGGTGAGGGAGAGTCTCCTGATTAATTCCGAAGAGTATTAGGCGCAGGATGGCAAGAGCCAAGGCTCGGGTGGAGCCCAGAGTGTGAGTTGGGGGTAACTGCTGGAGTCTAGTTCATGACTTGGTGTCTCTCGTACCCACAGGTGATGGAAACCAAAAACATGCTGTATCTTGTGACAGAATACGCCAAAAACGGAGAGATATTCGGTGAGTTCTCAGTTACTTCATACATTATGCACATCTCAAACCTTTACCCTGAGTCAGCCTGGGTAGCGCTCTCTCTCTCTCTCTCTCTCTCTGGCCTCTGATTCAGAAGGTTGTGGGTACCCCATACATTGGGGACTTGGAATCGCATAGTCTAAGCTGATGCTCCAAAGCAGTGCTGGGGGGGGGCGTGGTGTGGGGGGTGTTGCATTGTCGAAGGTGCCGTCCCTTCCGATGAGACATTAAACCAAGCTCCCTGATCCCACCATCCCCCGCTCCCCCCAAAAAAGATGGCACCTTCAACTCCTGACAGCGGGGGCTCAAGACCACAGAACCCTCTGACTCAGAGGCGAGAGCGTTACCAACTGAGCCGGGCTGATGCCTTAGAATTTGCGTCTCTCTGAGGATATTGCCCTTTACGCTGGATCAGCTATTTCAGCTATTGTTCCTCTGCTGTCATCGCTGTTTCATGAGCAGATACGATAATGGTGGATGTTTTTTCAGGTGTTTGTCAGAAGACATTTGTGTAATTGCATCTGGGAAAGAAAGAGACAAACTGCTCGCCTCACAACAATTGACAATGGCGGAGAGACTCTCACTGATAGGAAATGGTTGTTGGCTTGTCAGGAGGATCTAAATATTTTTAGTCTCGAAGGTGACGGGACGACAATGCTCCCATTTGCTTCACATCAGGCCCAAACTTCCACAAACTTCTGACGAGACGTTAAACCGTCTGCCTGTTCAGGTGGATGTTAAAGATCCCGCTGCGCTATTCAAAAAGAGAAGGGAGTTTCTCTCTCTCGCTCCCTTCTGTCCGACAGTCCCCCAAATAAAGTTGGTCGCTTGTTCCATGGCTGTTTGTGGGACGCTGCTGACCATTGTGAAGGGTGCTATATAAACGCAAGTTGTTGTTGTTGTTGTCTGCAAACTGGTTGCTGCATTTCGCCCACAAAAGGCACAGTCTCTCATATGCTTTGCAGCATATTCTGCGAAGCGCTTTTGAGATGTTGCGAGGACACGAAGGCTCTATATCAAGTGCAAGGATTATTATCATATTACACGATCAATTTCCTCGTTAACCTGATAGAAAACCCAGGCACACAGTGAAGGAAGGTTCGAGCTGACGATGCTGTGCTAATGGGCAGAGGTGTCAGCTGCGGCGAAGGATTCTAGTGAGAACGTCAAAGACTTTATTGGTTGCTCCAAACCAACACTTAAATTGTTTTATGGTCTTATTTTTACTGGCCCGTTGACGGCTGTAGTTTTGACATTTGACACGCACCAGCCCTCCCTTGCCAGCACTCATTCCTACTAATATTCTTTCTCGTTGTATTTATTGTTCCTCCCCGCGGTTGGGCAGATCCTCGCTCGCTCTGCCCTTTTGACATTGTTCAGTTTTGTTCCAACAAAAAATAATAACAATACATTATGTTTGTGTGACATTTTTTATGTCGGGAGGACTGTCAAGGATATTTGGGGCTTCCGAATGCTTTAACCACAATGAACGCAGGTGGATAGTTTGTTCGTTTGTTCGTTTATCTCGAAACCCGCTTATGCCGTCAAAAGTCTGCTCATTCCCCCCCCGCCCCCCATTCCGACATAAACAGGTAAATACTATTATTTAGGTAACATTTTGGAACTTCCCAAGTTCCTCAATCCCTCCCTCACCCACTTCCTTCCCCATCTTCAGGTCGCGCCTGAAGACCTTCCTCTTCGACCGTGCCTACGGTCATCTCCTTCCCCCCTCCCCACCCGCCTCGGCTTGGCACCGTACTCCACCACCGTCAAGCACTCCGGGACGCTGCCCTGCGTGAGTGTAGGGGCTGCTGTGTAAATGCAAGTTGTCGTCGTTGTTGAACTGTTGTTAAAACCCGCTAAGGTCTGACCCTGAGAGGCGAGGAAGAAGCCAAGCTGCTGTTTGGTGCCCTCGTGATGTTTAGTGCCCTTTTAAGAGGCTGCAGGAACCCGGCTTCAAAGTATTTGCGAGCGCATTCAACAGCTACTGCCAGATTCCGAACGCTTTGAAAGTTTACTTAAGTGTGGGTGTGTGGGGGGGAATGGGAGCGTGGAATAATTCTAAAGCCAGGCGGAATTTCTCCCCCATGTGTTTGGCGAGAGTTCAGGAGCTCGGAAAAGAAAGAAAGAAAGAAAGAAAAAAAAAAGCAGTGCTCTTGTGCTGAATGGCTCTGAGCTTTCTTCCCACAGCCACGAATGGATCAGTCACACTGTGGCTTGTGTCCCGTGCCAGTCGGCTCTGCTCCTCGCAGCTGCAGACTCAGTATCAGTCACCACCGGGCACAGCATTAGCAAAAAGGGATGTTACAGTTTGACGCTGACTCACTGTGAGAGAGGAGGGAAGGAGCAGCTGGATTGATATTTCATTTAATGTCTTGTTTGTTTGTTGGTTTGTTTGTGAGGGAGAGCGATTGGCGGCCAGGACTCGGGCTTAAACTCCCTTCTCTTCTCCCAGTAGCGCCACAGCATTCCTGGCATCGATCTGAACGGGGGCTTTGAGTCACGTCGTTCGGTCCAGACGTTAAACCTCACTTCCTGTTTGTCTGGTCAGGCGGATGTTGAAGATCCCGGAGCGCTGTTCGTAAAGAGAAGGGAGTTCCTCTCTCTCTCTTTCTCTCTCTCTCCCGGTGTCCTGACCGACAATCCCCTAAAATAAATTTAGTCACTCAATTCACGGCTGTTTGTGGGGACGCTACAGTGTGCAATTGGCTGCTGCGTTTCGCCCACAAAATGCACAGTCACTACACTTTATATTGTATCCTGTGAAGCGCTTTAGATGCCTCAACAATGTGAGAAGGCACCGTATCAAATGCAAGGATTATTTATTATTATTTATTTAACGTCTTACCGCCTCCGACAATGCAGCACCCTCCCCCCTCAAACCCCTCCCCCCCTCCACACACACACACACACACACACACGCTCCCTTGTCCCCAGCACCAACCCGAGTGTGGGGGGGACAAGGTGGGATGAGCGAGGGCAGAGGGGGTAGGAAGGCGGCTGAAGGCACGGTCAAAAAGGAAGGTCTTGAGACGTGCTTTGAAGGAGGCAAGAGAGGGAGTGAGGTGAAGGGATTGTGGGATGGAGTTCCAAAGAGTGGGGCAGAGAGGCTGAAAGCCCGACCACCAATTGTAGGGCAAGTCGGGGGGGAGACCTGGAGCAGGTCGGAGCCTGCTGAACGGAAGGAGCGGAGAGGTTGATAGGGGGTTAGCAGGTGAGAGATGTAGAAGGGCAAGGCCACGGAGGGGCTTGAAAGTGAGGACGAGGATTTTGAATTCTATCCTCTGGTGGATGGGGAACCAGTGGAGCCGGGCGAGGGTGGGGGTGATGGGGTAACTGAGCGCCAGAGGACACGAGCGGCAGAGTTCTGGATGATCTGCAGCTTGTGGAGGGAAGAGTTGGGGAGGCCGACAAGGAGGGAGTTTCGTAGTAGAGCCTTAAGGTGACGAATGTGCGTATGAGGGTTTTGGCGGCTGAGGGGTGAGACAGTGATGGAGTCGGGCAATGTTGCGGAGGTGGGGGACGGCAGAGCAGGTCATGGCACGGATGGGGGAGAAAAGACAGTTGAGGGTCGAACAAGACGCCCAGGTTCCTGACTGGCTGGTGAGGTGGAGTGGGCAACCGTGGATGCTGATGCTGCCTGAGGTGAGGAGGCGCTGATGGGAGCTGATGAGGAGAGCCTCGGTCTTGCTGATACTCAGCTGTAGAAAGTTAGCTCTCATCCATCTGACAGACATTCTGTCAGGACAGCAGTGGGCCTGGAGTTGAGGGTGGAGGCAGAGAGGTAGAGTTGGGTGTCATCCGCATACACGTGGACATTGACCCCATGTCTGCAGATGATGTCACCAAGAGGGAGCATATAGATATTGAAAAGGAGGGGACCAAGGACGTCGTACGAGACTGTGTGGGGGTTGGAAGAGAAACCGTTGCCGGAGACAAATTTGAGACGGTGTGAGAGATAAGACCTGAGCCATTCAAGGACAGAACCTTGAAGGTTGAGATGAGAGGAGAGGCGGTGGAGGAGGATGGAGTGGTCCATGGTATCGAAGGCAGCAGAGAGATCGGGAGAATGAGGAGGCAGAGGGAGCCCTGGTCACAGATGGACAAAATGTCGTTTGTCACCTTGACCAGAGCAGTTTCGTGAAGTGAATGGTAGGAGAGGAATGAGCGAAGCTGGGAAGCAACAACTCTTTCAAGGAACGTTTTCAGGGTGGGGGTGATTACAGCTATTTTTAAGGGGATGGAAATGGTGCCAGATGATAGGTAGAGATTGATGGTGTCGGAGAGTAGAGGGGCGAGGAGATGGAGCTGGGAGGTAAGGAGAGGGGTGGGAATGGGGTTCAGGGAGCAGGTGGTGCATTTCATGCTGGATATGGTGGTGATGAGAGAGAAAGGGGAGACAGGTTCGAAAATGTGGAGGGAGGGATGGTTAGGGGTCGTAGTGGGGCGGGGGGTAGGGGAGCTGGTGAGGGGGTGGCGGTTGGGAGGGAGGAGGCAGCTGAACGGATCCCCTCGATTTTGGACTCGAAGAAATCCAGCATCTCCTCATAGTCAGAGCTTAGTTAATTGGCTGAGACTGAAACCTTTCATGTGAACCCAGCTGACTGTGGCATTTGTGCAAGAGGAATTGTCTAAAGTTTTGACAGTCTGTGAAGACATCCCCACGTGTAATCAGCCAACTTTTGTGTTCAGAGGTTAAGATGTTTGATGCGAGTCAATTGACTTTACAGTATGTCCTGTGAAGAGCTTTGAGACATCTCGAAGACGTGATAAGGTGCTGTATCGAATGTAAGGCTTATTATTATTATTAAAATGCATGAGGCTATAAGCAGCTGACTTAGCTTGACCTTATCTTCATCACCTCAACCAAACCCACATCAACGTTGCGGTCTCGGGTACGCAAGAGTGTGGCTAATGTAATAAGGCATTATTCGATTAATTCAGCTCGTAAAGCTTAACACTATGGGGCTGTCTTTGTGGGATTGGGG